CACGTACGCACACACACACACGCACACACACACACACACACACACACGTACGCACGCACGCACACATACACAATAACACAATCACAAACACACACACACACACACATACACACACACAAACACACACACACGTACGCACGCACGCACACATACACATTAACACAATCACAAACACACACACACATACACACATACACACACACATATATATATACATTCTAACTATCCCCAAACTTTCACACCCACAGTTTCCTCACTTGGCTTATGAATATGAACAGAGCATAATTGATATATGAGAAGAGACTGCTAATCGTGATGCAGATAAATGACTCTATCTAAACAAGGTAAGCTGCACGGGTGATATATGAGAGATGAAAGTCTGTGATGAATGATGTGAAAAGGAAAATCATTGGTAATTGGGGAAAAAAAATATACATTTTTTGTCACTGGTTATATCATTTGGCGATGGTTTATGAAGGACTTTGCTTACGGAATTTACTAGCAGGGGTAGTATGTAAAAAGGATCAGAAACTGTATAATGATAATAACACTTTTGATGATGCTAAGCAAACCCTCTTTGCTGTGGATAGTGGTGATGAAAATAATAATAACAACCCTTAAATAAAAAAGATTACTAATAAATAAATAAATAATGAATAAGTAAATAAAAAATAACACAACAATGATAATAATTATCACAATCACTATTTAGAGAACATGGAATACTAAATACTGAAGATATTCATCACGCCCTCAGATATGTACACTCGTAGTTGGCAAACCCTCAGTAATGAATTTTGATGATAGTGGCACTTCCCATGTCATTTATGTATGTAATAGACAAGACCTTAGCTCAGCATGGCTCCGGGTTACACGAAACAGGAAATATACGAAGTATTCAGGGAATATTCTCTGAAATTATTTATCCATTATATTAAAACAAAATTAATTTGAAATAAAAGCCTTGAGTAAATTCTAAAAAACATGACCTTCCATTAAAGAATAGAATGACAATCCAAGTCGATATGTTAACTTCTATTTATGTTACAGTAAAACATGAAGTTTTAAAGCAATTTTGTGTTTTTAGGTCTTAACAAACAATCGTGCTGAATGCCCGTCAAAAAGGATTTATTTAATGGGCTCAGTGTATGATTATTTTATGTACAATCTTTACGACTATAATGCTAAGTAAAGAAAAAAAATCAAAAGTTGAATTTTAAATTTGCACTTTTCATAAGGCTATTACTTTCCTAAACAATAGTATGGATGTATTCAATAACCTACACAAACATACATGTATAGTTTATGTATGTGTGTCTGTGTGCATGTGCGTGTGCGTGTGTGTGTGTGTGTGTGTGTGTGTGTGCGCGCGTATGTGTGCGTGCGTGCGTGCGTGTGTGCGTGTGTGTGTTCATGTGTGTGTGTTAGTGTCTTTTAATAACCACTTTACACTAAAGACTTCGCAGATAATAAACCAGGGAATTAAATTACGCTCACGAATCATCGTACAGAAGACCAATAAAGAAAAAAACAACAACAACAAAGAATATCATAAATAAATCTGGAGCGAATAAGCAACTAAAAAGAGAACAAATTAATAATCAGATTTATTAAGAAACAGATTACAGAACACAAACGCAACCACCTCGTTTTCCTTTTCAATTAGAATGTCCAAGGATATGACAGGTATCGGGTGTGAAGCCTCACGCACGGGTTCTCTGGGCATCTGAGGGAGTGCGTGCGTGCGTGTGTGTGTGTGTGCGTGTGTGTGTGTGTGTGTGCGTGTGTGTGTGTGTGTGTGTGCATTTGTGTGTGTGTGTTTGTCTTTGTGTGTGTATGTGTGCGCATTTGTTTATGTGTGTGTGTGCATTTGTTTGTGTGTGTGTGTGTGTGCATTTGCTTGTGTGTGTGTATGTGTTTGTGTGTTTGTTTATACGTTTGTTGTTATATATTTCTGTAAGTCTTTACGATTTTTTGCGTATTATGCTTATGTAAGCGTGTGTACAGATACATAAATACATTCCCGTGTATATTCAAGACTTACCTTGAGGAAAATCCAACGTCCCGATCCACCAGCAACAACGTATACATATATATATTACTTATTTAATTTCACTTGGCCACTGTTCATGGATTGCCGGTCGCGTCACGGACACTTGTTCGCTGCTTCGAAATTTCGGATTCAGTAATCCATTTCTTAATTCGGATATTCCATTTTATTCCAACTGTTGTCTTCTGTTCACTCGCTAAAATGACTTCGAAAGATTTATTTTTCTTTCACTAAATCCGTGATGTTATGGACGTTTTTTTTCTCTTCACTGCATTGTTTTATATTTGTTTTTTATTATCATGTTCCTCTTCTGAAGCATTCAGTGGTAATGTTGATATTGCTGATGTTGTCTTTAATATTTTTCTGTCATGAGAGAAAGGAAGGAAGGCAATCTAAGTTTAGATGGAAATAAAAAAATGTAGGATAGATTAAATAACAGAAATTAATGAA